ACGGATCCTCACCTTGGCGTTCCACCACACCCCCTGGTCCACACAACAATAACCAGGATTTCAACCAACACAACAGAGATTTGGAGGCTGGCACGGCCGAAGCCGCACCTAGGCGTGCCGCCAACGCCTGGCTCGGATCCCACGCTGTGGTGGGAATGCCATAAAGGCCACATTAAAAAGGAGCCATTGCAGCCTGACTCTCAGACCGCCTCCCGTTAAGGAGGAGGTCCAAGGTACCCCGTCAGTTGGCAACCTTCCAAGCCACGGCTTTTAGCGCACCGTGATAGCTTCAAGCGCGTCAGATTGTTTATAGTGAGGGGAAAGTGCGCTGAGTCGTCGACCTCACTCTCCCTTCCCATTCCAACACCCCAGCCACTGTCCGAGCCGGTCAGCAGACTGGAGTGGGGAATGGGCGCGGTGGATGACATGGTCGACTGACCATGCCTGCGCGCGCCACAGCACGACCTGGCCCCCCATACACACACAAACACCAGGATTTCACTCAACGGGGGTTGAACGGCGTGTCTCCCACTTGCGTGAGAGAGCCGTGGTAGGTGCTGCTTCAGCCCGTCCCCAGCCCACCAGTCCGCCACTACACTCAACACACACACACACAACGTGACGAACTGCGTGAACCGAGAGCGGGCCTCAATCAGCAACCTTCCTATCCACGACACTTGACGTGTCGGGATAGTCTCGGACACGAGTCACCCGTGCAGCCGAAACCGCATGGGGACCGAGTCGAGATGCACACTTCCCACTTGCGTGGGAGGTGGCAGTTGAGGGCATGGGTGTGTGAGGGTTGATGGTTGGTGAGCTGATGGTGTTATGAGGAAGGGAGTGAGGGAATGTGTGGTGTGACCGACGGTTGTCTACCGCAGGTCGTCGTGGATGCGCATGTGGCCGAATAGACCCATGCGATGCGTGAAGGTGCGAGGGCAGTGTGGGCAGTGGAGGCGAGTGCGGTGGGTGTAGGTTGGTTCTCCAGGCACTGGTTCGCCAGTCTCTGTGCGATGGATTCGCAAGTGACCCACCAGGCCGATGCGTGAGGTGAAGGTGCGTGGACAATGTGGGCATGAGAGGTTGGCGGTGTCGGTGTCAGCTGTAGAGGAAGCAGTCATGTTGGTGGTGGTGGTCGACGCGTGTGACGGTGGAGCGAGGATTGGTCTGGGCGTGGTGGATGTGTTGGATGTCGTGGCTGTATCGGAATTGTGGTCAATTCCGCTCTCCTGGATGCGCATGTGGCCGAATAGACCCATGCGATGCCTGAAGGTGCGAGGGCAGTGTGGGCAGTGGAGGCGAGTGCGGTGAGTGTAGGTTGGTGATCCAGGCACTGGTTCGCCAGTCTCTGTGCGATGGATTCGCAAGTGACCGACCAGGCCGATGCGTGAAGTGAAGGTGCGATCGCAGTGAGGGCAGATGTAGCCCTGGCCCTCACGTCTGATGATGGAGGTTGCAGGGGTTGTGCCTGTTGTTGTGTCAGGTTCGGCTGTGGTGAAGTCGTGGGCGACAGACGCCGAAGCGGCCGTCCTTGTGGCAGTGAAGGAGGAAGAGGAGGAGAAAGGGGAGGAGTGAGGGGTGGTAGGGTCGGTGGCGTCGATGTCGGCTGGGGAGTGGTTAGTGGGTGCACAAGGTGGTGGATTGGGAGTGGGGCTCGGCGGGGTGGATGTGTCTAGGCTGCGGTCAATTCCGCTCTCGTGGATGCGCATGTGGCCGAATAGACCCATGCGATGCGTGAAGGTGCGAGGGCAGTGTG